AGCAATAATATCTCAATTTCGAGTTTCCCGACGAAAGAAGCACTATTCGATATTTGTCTATTAATTTTGGGTCAAAATAGCAATTTTTTTCCATTTTATCAAAAAATTGATATTTTCACCAAAAAGCCAAGGCTATAGCCCATGGTTTTTACCAAATTTTGAAAAAAATTGATTTTCCTCATATTTCAATTCAAAGATGTCCTTGATGTAAGACTATGAAAATGGAGATCCTTTCATCAAAATTCACAATGCTTATGTCATAATCTGTTATCAAACTTTCGGCTATGTTTGATTTTATTGTTTTTTATGTCTTCATTTTTATTGTAAAGAAACACAGATTATGTACCCCGTGTTACATAAACGAAAAACTTCTCTATTCAAATAGCATATCACGTATATCAACAAATTTCTCCCTCCCTCCAAAAAAAAACATAGACAGGGTGACAGTGAGTTCACATTGTTATCGAGAAGGAAGGAACTAAAGAATATAAACATTGTTATCGAGAAGGAAGGAACTAAAGAATATATACATTGTTATCGAGAAGGAAGGAACTAAATAATATAACAACATAAACAAAATAGTCTGCATCTATTAGTTACATTGTTATCGAGTAGGTAGGAACTACAGAATATAAACGTTGTTATCGAGAAGGAAGGAACTAATGAATATAACAACATAAACAAAACAGTCTGCATGTATTAGTAACATTGTTATCGGGAAGGAAGGAACTAATGAATATAACAACATAAGCAAAACAGTCTGCATCTATTAGTAACATTGTTATCGGGAAGGAAGGAACTAAATAATATAACGACATAAACAAAACAGACTGCATCTATTAAACTACTCTAAAACCTTACAAACAAATAGATTACCAGCATCTGAAGAGTTTACAAAAAAATTTCAATTCAACATTAACGTGTATCCAATTCTAGTTTCCAAAGGAATCAGATTAGCTACTATTTTGTCTAGAAAACATCCCAAGAATGAAAGTAATCTTTGACCTTGATTGTACAAAAACTAATAACTTTTAAGTTGGATCATAGTCCAAATGTATACCAACGTTCGTCCAAATCCACGTAGCCCTTTTTCGAGAAATATCACTATCACACACACAAACAGGGGTGAAAACGTAACCTCAGTCCACATTCCCTGACGAAGATAATAAATATGTATAAGTCATATCTAGAAGCCACAGCATTCACTTTATATATATTTCTGTTTTTGTTATTTTTACATTGTGTATTTAGTTAAAGTGTTGAGAAGCCTGTACAAGTTGGATGAAAACAAGAACCTTTTGGTTGCATAATATAATATATTAGTGTACTTCACGCATATTAAAAAAACGTAGTGTAAGTATAATGTATAAAGATTTAAAGAAAAAATAATTTCCTTACTTCAACTGAAAGTCACTCTCTATCGACAATATAAAAGCTACGTGATGTTCAGTTGTTTACAAGTTGTATTGAGTAATGAAAGCATCATGGAAAAGTTTTCCTTAAAATCTTAATGAAGTTAGTTACATCAATGTTGCTCTTAAAATGGTTTGTTTGTTTTGAATTTCACGCGAAGCTACACGAGGGCTATCTGCGCTAGCCGTCCCTAATTTAGCAGTGT